TATCAGGCATGGAAAATAGAGCTTGCTTAATCTCCTCCCTGGAGACAGGAGAACTCAATTCATCCCTCTGAGCTGGAGTAAGAACAAGGCCATTGGAGATCACACTAGGATCAGGGGTTGTGTTGACCTTAGCATTCCCCAACAACTTCTTATAATATTCAACAAGCTCTGAGGTGATATCAGACAATTCTGTGAGCCTGAAACCAGCAGCATTGTATATTGACAAGATTCTACTCTGATGTCTTTTGGATTTCATCACTGAGTGAAAGAATTGAGAGCCCTTATCAGAGTGGAGTCCCCATTTGATGTTAGCTTTTTGTCTAAGAAAGGAATTTTCATTATCCAGCAGAATAGCATATTTTTTGATGCATTCCCTCTCTTTAGAAATCAACTCTGAATTGAAGAGGTCAGTACTCAGCTTGAATTGAATCTCCAAAAGTTCAGTTTGAGCTCTAGAAACTTGCTGACTGATATTCATGTAATTCTTCTTATTGAGATCCTTGAGAGCATGCTTGAGATTTTTAAGTTTAGAGCAGAATTTGAACATGCAAAAACCTCTAACACTCTTATTCCAAGCAGATCTTACCACTTCTAAGAAATCAGGGTGTTTAGCCCACATATTAAAGAATTTAAAAGGTTTTTTACCATCAAATGTTTCATCTCCAATGGTAATGAGCCCAGGGGAGTGATCAGAGCATAGAGGCATCAAATATTCCACTTGACTTGTAGTATATTGATTAATCCAATCATTAAATATTCTTCTTATTGAGATCCTTTTGGCTTTGTTGACAACTAGCTGCAGACCTAAACGGTTAATACACTAACCAAATAATATATCATGGGCGTGGGCCGGGCTAGGCTTACTTTTCCAATCCCGAGTTAGGGGCTAGGCCCGACCCAACCCATGACCCGAGCATATCATGGGTCGGCACACACGCAACCCTAAGCGCCTATCTGAGTCATTTCGGAACCATCTCTGATACTTTTTAGAATTTGAGAGATTATTGAGCAATTTTAGACATTTAATATCTTTAAAAAAACTTTATTTGAGATACAGAAGAATAGGCTATTCTCTTTTTTTAATTGCGTTGACCAAGAGAAGTTGAAGCTGCATAGATTATTTGTATTGTCCCTACTATCACCAACCAGGGAGAAAATATACAGTGGGCGTGCGGTAATAATTCCATATTGATCCGAATCAATCAATATGCTCCCATTTTTAAAAAGATTCTTGCTAGAAGCATACATGGACTGTAATGTGCTTCTCCATGGGTATCTGGTAGCCATGTATGTAGGGGTATAATAGGCAATTTGGCAGCATAAGCAATAAGGAAGCCCTAATAGAATGTTATTTCTAATGCCACATGATATGACTGACGAGCTAATCTTTCAAAATCCAATGTTGGTTCATTGGAACCATATAAAGCCACACCTAGAACCCCTATTAAGAGAAAAATGGAACCCCCCGCAGTGTACAAAATAAACTTTGTAGCCGAGTACAAACGTTTCTTTCCCCCCCACATGGATAAAAGTAAGTAAACAGGAATTAATTCTAACTCCCACATAAGGAAAAAAAGTAAAAGGTCTCGAGAAGAAAATAATCCTATTTGACCACTGTACATTGCTAACATCAGGAAATAGAATAATCGCGAATTTCGAGTAACAGGCCAAGCTGCTAAAGTAGCTAAAGTAGTGATAAATCCTGTCAGTAAAATGGGTCCCATGGAAAGCCCATCGATTCCCAGTCTCCAGTGAAAATCAAAAATATTTATCCATTTAAAATCCTCCTCCAATTGAATTAATGGATCGTCCAATTGGAAATGATAACAGAACACATAGGTTGTTAGAAGGAGTTCTAATAAGCATATACATATAGTATACCACCTAAATACCTTATTCCCCTTATGAGGGAGAAAGAAAATTGAAGAACCTGCGAATATTGGCAAAACTACAAGTAGCGTTAACCAAGGGAAATAACTCGTGATAAAGACAAGATGCGTTTTGACTAAAAAACCCGTGCTCGGAATAATATATTTTATCGAGTACGGGCTTTTGTCGGTAAAAAGGAATCAAATGATTCAAGTGGAGTTTTTTATAACGTATCAATAAGATAGACCCATGCTGCGGGTTGTTTCATGCCATAAATAAACACGGACACTCAAAAAATCTGTTGGACAGGCGGATTCACATCTCTTACAACCTACACAGTCCTCCGTTCTTGGCGCAGAAGCAATTTGCTTAGCTTTACATCCGTTCCAAGGTATCATTTCCAATACATCTGTGGGGCAGGCTCGTACACATTGAGTACATCCTATGCATGTATCATAAATTTTTACTGAATGCGACATTGGGTCTATAAATTCTAGTTTTGAACATAAAAAATTTTCGATCTGGTAAAGTAAAATCAGGAGTAAATGAATTATATTTATATTGTAGACACCAGACGAATCAATGGTTTATCAAAAAAATCTTAAGAATCAATATATATTTCTAAATCTGTTCATGAAAAAAGACCAAGAGACTTTGATTTCCGTTTCAACAACCATGATCATACGAGTCACGCATATGACTTCACATTGACATCGGTCAATGCATCGTCAATATTGCAATAGTAATATGGAAATATAATATTATACATATTACTATAAAAGAATAAAAAATGAAAAAAAAAATTCTATTTATATAATAGTTATGACTAATTATTCAACAAATTTGATTGATTGATACGAGTTGATTTTCTGTTACGATAGATCGACGAAACAATAGCTAGTCCAATAGCTGCTTCCGCGGCTGCAATGGCTATAATAAAGATTGAGAAAATGTCTCCTTTTAATTGACGACTATCAAATATATCAGAAAACGTTACGAGATTAATATTAACCGAATTTAGTATAAGTTCAAGACACATAAGTGCTCTAACCATGTTTCGACTTGTGATCAATCCATAGATACCTATAGAAAATAAATAGACGCTCAAAAAAAGTACATGTTCGAACATCATTGACTAACTCCTCATCAATCTCGATTCATTTCAATATGAACAATAATTCAACGGATTTGATTGACTAGAATCGAGCAATTACAGAAAAAAAGAGGGTATCCGCAGTAGATTAAACTAAAAACTTTCCCCTTTTTCATTTGATTTAAAATTTCTAACAATTTTATTAATTCTTATTAATTCTAAGTATTTGCTATTGACGAGCCATAGTAATTGCACCTATCAAAGAAACTAAAAGAATTATAGAAATAAGTTCAAACGGCAGATAAAAATCTGTTGATAAATGAATTCCAATTTGTTGAACGTTACTTATAAGGTCCTGTTCTATAATCTGGTTTGATCTTGTAGTCCAAATAATTCCGTACCATGACGTATCTGGGATAGTAGTAATTAGTGAAAAAAGAATACTTGTACAAACCAGTGAAGTGACTCCATCTCCAACAGTCCAAAGATAGGACCCGTTAGAATAGTCTGAACCGTTCATGAACATAACAGCAAATATTATTAAGACATTTATGGCTCCCACATAAATAAGGAGCTGTGCGGCAGCTACAAAATAGGAGTTTGCTGGAATATAGAATAAGGATATACAAACAAGAACGAATCCTAATGAAAAGGCAGAATAAATTGGATTGGTAAATAATACTACTCCTAGACCTCCTAATATAAGAAATAATCCTAGAAATACTACAAGTATATCGTGTATTGGTCCAGGTAAATCCATTATGTATACCAAATAAATAAGTCGAAATATTTCATGACCTTACTAAATAGTCCAGGAAAGAGAAGGGTGTTACCTTTATTTTTTTTTTTTTTTTTAGATGATGGATTTCTAATTGAATTAAATATTCAATCTTAATATGGTGTAGATATAGATAAAGTTATTGGTGAATCCTACTTTCTTTTTTCTTTTTTTTGAAAAAAAAAAAAGAAATAGTTGGAATTTTATATTTCGAAATCATCGCGAAACTATCGGTTTAAATCAAAGAGTAATTCTCAACAATCAATAGTTATTAATTATTATTTGTAATTTCTGACCAACCAAAAACTTGAATCCTTTATATCAAAGAACAAAATCTTAGTAATCAGTAATTGTTCTTGAATCAAGGGGTTTATCTTTGTCTATTTTGATTTGAGTCGAATTCATAACTGTTTGAATTGTGTAATCTCCAATTACTGACATTGGTAATCGGCCCAAAGCAATTTGATTATAATTCAATTCGTGACGATCATAAGTAGAAAGTTCATATTCTTCAGTCATCGATAAACAGTTTGTTGGACAATACTCGACACAGTTACCACAAAATATACAAACTCCAAAATCAATACTATAATTAAGCAATTGTTTCTTTTTAATATCTTTTTCAAATCTCCAATCAACAACGGGTAGATCTATGGGACATACACGAACACATACTTCACAAGCAATACATTTATCAAATTCGAAGTGGATTCGACCACGGAAACGTTCTGATGTGATCGATTTTTCATAAGGATATTGAATAGTTACAGGTAAACGATTTGTATGGGATAAGGTAATTATGAAACTTTGACCAATGTACCTTGCAGCTCGTATTGTTTGTTGACCATAATTTATGAACCCGGTCACCATAGGGAACATATTGTGGATCTCCGTGAATAAATTGCTGTTTTTTTCTCTTGTTTGAGATCGGTTATAAATCTAGAATATCATTATGATCATATTGCTTGTTTGAGTGTGCTTTGGCGTTCATTCATATTTATGTTCATATCTTATATCGCCATTGTCATTAGCTCATTATCTATATCATCCACTATCTTATTTAGATTGTTTTCCCCTTGTGTTAGTTTATATATATCCTTGCATCATATAGGATATATCTATTTGTTGTTCATATTGCTTATCCTAGCTTACATATCTTGTTATATTTCACTCTTGCTAGGATAACTTGTTAATTAATTTTTAATTGGCATTTAAATCGGATTAGATTAGCATAAGACCCTAATCACCCCCCCCCCTCTAGGGTCTAACAGGAAGGTGTTAGTGGGATGCCAATTGACTATCACGAAGGATTTGGAAGAATAAAGGATGTTAGATATCGATGTGCACCATCTTCTTCCAAAACCATTGGCTCTAAGCAGAGAGAGGAGGAAATCCCACCTAACACAATCAAAAGATTTGCTGAGTCGACCTTGAGGATGTAGGCTCCCACTTTTTTTAAAAAGCAGTAGTGCAGCATCTCATGACCGAAGACAATGGAGTCAATGATAGATTTGCCCGATTGAAACGCAGAATGAGAGTTGTCTATGATGGAAGACAGAAGGGGAGCTAGCCTATTTGCTAGGACTTTGGTGAAGATTTTGACAATGCCATTAATAAGGCTGATGGACCTAAAATCTGAGAGGTGGCAGGGGGAGTCTGATTTGGGAGTAAGAGAGATGTGGGAGATGTTGACTTTGTGGAGGGAGGATGCATCATTGTAGAGATGATGGAAGAAGGCTATAAGGTCATCTTTGATGGTATCCCAGAAGGTTTGATAAAAGAGTATAGGGAAGCCATCTGGACCGGGAGCTTTCTCAGGATGAAGGCCAAAGACGGTTGCTTTGATCTCGTCCGTTGAGAAGGGGGAGTCCATGTTGCTAAGGTCTACATAGGGGGATGGGTATAGATAGTTCGAGTCTACTTGGAATAGGGATGGGGATGGCCTTGAAGTTGTTGGAAAAATGCTGAAAGAATGCTAGTTGTTTATCATTTTCTAATGAGATGACGGTTGAGTCAATTGTCAGGTTCGGAATGAGGTTTTTTCTTTTATGAATTGATTTCATGATGTTGCTTTGCAGAACTTTCTTTTATGACCAAATATATATTTTCCTTCGCTTTATGTTTTTGATCTTACTGTATTTTATCCTACTTTAGCTAGTTCACTGTTATGGAGGGAGTTTTGAAGGAGGAAAGCTGTAGAGTTATATATGTGGCTTATGTTTTGTATTATTGTGTCTTTTTAGTCTCTTTAAATATTTTTTATTTAACCATTACTTTTTCTTGATTTTGACGCAGACTTCTTTTCCACAAGGAATTCCAACAAGTAAAGATTGGAGTCAGCTTGAGGTTCTAAATAAAGTTCAAAATTAGAAGCATTTTAGTGTTGTAGTGAGTCATTACTTGCTTCTTAAAAACTTAATATAGTTTTATAAACAAACATAATTCTTCCGTGCTTGCTGCGGTATTAGCGTGAACAGAATTAAAAATAATGGTTTGATTATTTGGTTTGGAATTTCTTAATTTATGGATAAAACTATTTTTTCTCGGTTGTATCGCTAATAAACTAATAAGAAAGAATATAAAAGTTAGAGATGCTTTTTGAATAATGTTGCCCAAAACAAAAGTACAACTGCGGGTGAATTCAGGGGCTTTTTGAAGATCAGAGCCAGGAAGGGCTATCTAAGGGCCGACCATTTAGAGGGGGTTTTCCTAAAATTTACCCATATCTTTTCCTATTTTACCTTATTTGCACTTTGGCACCCCTAAAGTGTAGCAATATTTTTATTTTGATATCTCAAAGTATCTTCTTAACACTTTGAAACTCCAAATTTTGATACTCCAAAGTGTAAATCCCATTTCACTTTAATACCCCAAGATATTTCTTTGACATTTTGATAACCCAAAGTTTCAATTAAGTTGCATGTTCATACCCCCTATCCATATTATGTTAGATTCCTACTAAATTTATACTACATCCTTAACTGAGTGAACCCTTCTGATTGCTGCATGTATATTTCTTCCTCTAGGTCACCGTGAAGGAAGGTTGTCTTCACATCTAACTGCTTGAGATGTAGATCTTTAGCTACAACAATACTCAGAACAGATCTAATAGTAGTCAATTTGACTACAGGAGAGAAGATTTATGCGTAATCAATTCCTTCTTTCTGCTGAAATCATTTGACCACCAATCTTGCTTTGTATCTTTTGCAACCATCTTGTTCCTCCTTGATTCTA